TTTCCCACACATTGAACCCTCATTTTGGCCTTACCCCAGAGCGTAGCTGGGGGGGGGCCCACCAAATCAACTAACCCTGGAACCCCAAAAGAGTTAATCTGGCCTGTGTAAAGCCCTGAAGCTTGGTACTTCATGCCTCCTCTCTTCTCCCTCTCCTACCATGGGGCTGGAGCACCAGGGGAATGAGTTATCTCAGTTGGTAGCCACTTCAGTGAGGGTTTTGGAGTTTTGTTTTTGGGGGGGTTGCCTCTCCCCTGTGTGGCCCCTGACTGATTTTTCTGTAGATCAGTGGTCCCCGACCCAAATATTGGTGCCCTATGATAATTCAGATGGTTTAACCATAGATTTCCATAGGACTGCTACTTTTTACAATTAAGATGCATTACTTTTCTACTTTTACTTGAGTAGTTTTCCAGAAGGATACTTTGATTTTTACTTAATTACATTTTTTTTCAAAGTAGCAGTACTTTTACTCAAGTAACTTTTGTGGGTACTTTTTCCACCACTGGTGGAGATGCTCCCAATTTCGAAATAAACTACACAATTGACCACTCAATTGGAATAGCTTATTTTGAGTTAAATTCTGCTGTGTAGACACACCCTTACAGAAATATTTAGTATCATGAGCTTTCATGGCTAAAGCCCACTTCATCAGATAAGTTGTACAATGGAATTTCACCATCCAATTACAGAAACATACTGCAGAATTGGAATTCATCTACAAAATTGGGATTGAATGAAGACATGAACTGATTAGTGCATTACAAAGCCTATCTCCCATGCCTTTAATATCAGCATTTTCATATCAAAAGCTATGAATGGGAGACACGCAGCCCTCTTAATTAGCTTCATTAACATGGGCCCTACAATTGACAGGTACTTTTTTTCCTGATATATCTTGCTTTCTGTTATTTCCACTCTTAACTCATCTGAGGTGGGTTTACCCATGAAAGTGCATCATTCTATGTTTTTGTTTTGTTTTGTTTAGTATAAAGTACCACAGGACTACTTGTTTTTAAGAAATATATGTATTTTTCTAGACTCTGGAATTTCTTCTTCAAAATCACACAGGCAATATTCAGTCTTGGACCAGTGACACGTGTAAGGTCTAGGGATGCCAGGTGTCTGGTTTTGAACCGGACAGTCCAGTATTTGAGCTTTCTGTTCGGGAAACAAATTGAAAAAATATATATGAGAAAATATAAATGTCCGGTATTTTCTAAATAAGATGTAATGTAGATTGTGATGTAATGTCAAGTGTGTCTGGTATTTTTGTTGAAACCATCTGGCAACCCTAGTTGTTACACCTTGGTTCGGTGATGTGATGGGAGCCTCAAGGGTTAAAGCCGACTACCCAGTGAAAACTACTGGATGATGGTGAAACAAATGATTTTTATTAAGTGGTCAAAACCAGCAATTAACAAGTAGGTGTTTAAACTAGCAATTGCTCAGTACTTTTACAGCATAGAAAAGCTTGGGCACAATTATACCCAACTGATTACAATTCTTTGATTACAATTTACTTATATCAAATCACTATCCCTAATTTGCCTAAGGCAACGTAGCATACAAACGAAAAATACAAAAAACAAAGCCAAAATAATGATGATAAAAGAACCACCCACAGCCAATCCCTCCAATGTCACTTTAGGACAGCTGGTGGAGTTAGTCATTGATTTTTTACTGTTACAAGTTGACAACTCAAAGGTTTTTCTTCTAACGCTAATACCTGGGCTAAAGCTTAACCCTTTCGCATAGCACAAAATCACACTATCTATTCAATACAATTAATATGACTTACTTATACTTCACAGGATTATAGGATATAATTAATACAGCTTAACTATTAACTAAACCATCAATTAATAAATTTAAGCAATACTTACAAATCCAGAAACGATAACAACATAAAGACACACTAGAACTCGGAGCATGCTCAGGACTCGTGCACCCCTATATTTGATTCGAAGGGTGGGGAGGCAGCCTCAGGGTGATCAATCCTTTAGCCAGGCAAAAAAAGACACGTGCCCTCAATACACGGAACCTCCGTCGAACAAAGGGGTAGAGGGTCTTTTATACAAAAATTCGGTGTCTGTTGCCATGCTAGGGTCTGCATTTGGCAGGGCCTGATAGGCTAGTGATGAGGTAGTATGACAATACTGCCCTATAGGAATTTTCGTGATGTATGCGTGATCCCCTCGTGGACAGGACCAGATGGGGCATAGTTAGTGTGAGACAATTGTGTTTTATTACCCTATGTTTACTTTTTCCCTTGCCCCTAAGACTGGTCAAGCTACGGTCAAATGAGGCTTATCTGTAAATTCAGCTAGGCGTTATCTAGTTATGCTCACCTCCCTATTTTCTTGGTGCCTTTGAGTTCCAGGATGCCTATAAGGTCAAATTCCATTCACAAAAACTGCATTGTGCTTCCCATGCTCCTCTGAGTATCTGGGTTTTGTGTGAGGGGCGTTGTGTGGCAGGATGGGCTATACGCGAAGGCCGTGGATAGAAAAAGCCTGCTTTACAACACTAGTAAGGTCTGATATCTTGCAAATGTTCAGCGCTATTAGGAATGTTGTTGTTTTTTGATAATTAGTATTATTTCCAATTATTGTTTTGTTATAGTGCCCACGTGTGCTTTCCAGGAAGAAATAGTAGATTTTACACAGTTCTACCAGCTACAGTAATAGATAATTAATAAAAATTCTGTTGTACTTCAATTATTAAACCCTGTTTCTGTGTGTTATATATGAAAGCCTACAGTTGAATTTTCAGCAAAAAAATAGATACCCTGTATGGTTTATCATTTTTAATATTTGAATATAAGAAATTTGAGAAATATTATTTATTTGAATTGCAGGAAAGTGGATTTCCTCCAAAATAAAAAAGAAAACAAACTCTAACTGTTACAATGCAAAATGCAAACGGATAGTTGTTTAGGAGCCATATTATTGAGATGGCCAATTTGAAAGCTATGTATGAGGGGCCTCGTGGCTTCATGCAGGCTGATGGGTCTACCTGTGCAGAACAGCTTTCAGAATCAGGGCTTTTGAGTGGATGCAGGAGCAACCCTGAGGTTCTTTGACTCTCTGAGCAACTGGCATGTGCTGTGCAGATGACTCACTTGATTTATAGCAGTGGAGTACATCATGTTGTAGGAACCCTCAGGGATCATCCGTGTATGAGAGAGCCATGTGGGAGGTGTAGTGAACCACATGGCCTCAGACACTAACAGAATTTTTTTATCCATTTAATAATGAAATAATTTTACAATTTGAATCTGACCTAATTGGATGTCAGTGCTCGCCAGGTGGTGTGTATAGGTTAAAAAGACTAATAAAAATATAAAGATCTTGAAAAGCATCATGAACCCAAAATAAGCTGCAGCTCATTATTTGAATGTTTGCATATTTTGTCTGGGATTATGAGCTGGTAAATTTACAGGGCTAGAATCCACCCCAGAGTGGATTGGGCAGGCTTATGAGTTAAATGCTCAAAAGCTGTATGTTGCAGTGATAAAGTTAACCTAAACCAGAGAGATGAGTTACAGGCAGCATGTGGTGTTACTGAAAAGCTCTAGGGCATCTGAAGCCTTTCTGTGGTAAAACAAAACAACTCTTTGGTTTGGGTTGATACATGCATTGTTTAGTTTCTTTCTTTCTTGTTAGTATTCCTGCCTTTCTTGTTACTTTTGGAAGCCTAATTCTGTTTTTTCTGTTCCCATGAATGGTTAGCCCATACTTTTGGTCAACTCGCAATGAGAAAAAAGGGGGGGGGGGATACTAAGACCTACAACAGTAAATAGTAATTCAGGAGACCACAGTGGGAATTTTCATCCACTATAACACAGTGTTTATCTGTATTCAATTTAGCTGACAATATGTAACTCGCTTCTGATAAATCACCAGTGCTAAATATGCAAAAATGTTTCCATATCATTTTACAAACCGAAAATAAAAAGCATCATCATTATACTGACAATAAACAAACCATGATTTGTAATATTTACAATCATAGCATGCAGAGCCCCCTACAATGTAATTTTACATCAGTTTATATTTTTCTTTGATTATTGCTGTGTTCAGTTATAGAATGTTATAGCGTATACAGTTTACCAAATGTACCAAAAATTAGCAATTTAAGTCAGTCTATACTTGTTTATCATTTTCACTTCTGTTGTGATTGGCTGGCAGTCAGGAGCTGGCATTACGCAATTGGCTTTGATATGAAATTACAAAAACAGGAGCAGATCTCTGTATTTGTACTCCATGACTGTAGCACATGCAGCTGAACAGAGCAGAAAAACAAAGCTCATCTTTACACAAGGATTCAAGTGAGATCTTTCTCACAGATGTTTCCATCTCAAAGAAGTATATCTTATCTGACCTTTCTAGTGTACAAGTTTCACCTCTTGGTGCCTTAGGAATTTTTTGTCTTGGTGAATATAATAATTGCCCTAAGAAGAGATTTCTAACATGGATGACTATGACAATTTCAGATGGAAGGACTAATGTAATACATGGATCTTAAACTCGATGGTTTTGAAGGGATTAAAACACAAGTATAATAAGAAGCAAAGCCAGCCCGAAAAAGGAGTAAGAAAACAGATGCAAAAGGAAAATGATTTTGTTTTTATCCAGAAATAGTGAAACTGAAAACTATATGAAAGACATTTACACTGGCAACAGAAATCATGAAAAATCAAAGGGATTTGTATTCCACTGAAATATTTGTACAGGCTATGCAAAAGCTAGCTTCCTGTGGACAAGCGCAATATATAGATTGATTGTCAAGCTGCATGGAATCCTTTTGGGAGGGCTGCATCCTCCTAATGGTAGATCAGGTATCTTTATGTATATATTTAAAATATATAAATTAAGGCTCAGCACAAGAAAGGTTAACCTAGTTGATTTTTTTAACTGTGAAATATTGCTAGTGAAGATCAGATTTTTTTCATCTGTATGTTTAACTACAGGTTTTTTTGCTTCCCCCAAATGTAGTTTACAAGATGCTGGAATTGGATTTATCCTTGTCATAGATCGAAGGCAAGACAAATGGACCTCTGTGAAAGCCTCCATACTGCGAATAGCGGTGAGTTCTTCTGTTAAGGACTTTATGGCAGTCTTTCGAGGCTGAACCCATCTATATATTAAATGCAGTAAGCATTTTTCTATTCCCAAATTGCACCATATAGCTTTTTGTTAGACACATTCTAACTGTTCTTATGACTTAACCCATCAAGACCCAGTGGCATAGGTATGCAGTATTCTTACAGTGTAGTCTGTGTGGTTTCATCCCTGCCAAGTTTCAAATGGTAGAAAGCTAGTATTGCTGAGCCATATTCACTGCACTGATCAAACAAGCTTTGCTGGCTTTTTTTAAATAAGGATAATGATTTGAAAAATGCCCCTATAAGTTTAAATTGAAACCATCATGGTATTTGTTTAAATATCTGAAACTCCAGTTACAAAAGTACATTTCTAGGAAGAAGTTACGTGATTTAATATTTCAAAAGATGGACACTACATATTTTTAAAATCTGCTAATAATGGTTCCATAGCTTTAAAACAGGCTTAGAAGAAGATGCCTATAGAACGTGTTTTTGATGGTTTTGGCATGTTTTTCATAGCTTTTTAAAAAAAACTACCTAAGCTTACCTAACATACCTTTCCATTTATAATTTTTAAATATTAATATATATACATGATTTTTAGACAATGAAAGTTATTTTAGTATATAAGTTCAAAAAGAGAAGCATGTCTAAATGAATGAATACTCACATATTTACTTATCAGGTACTATTCATAACCTTTGCCTTTCTTATTTTAGCCTATTTTGTCATGTTGTATTTCAGAATATTTACCATTAAGTGCAAAGCCACAGAGCTTGTAACCTGTTTCTGTATATGGCTTCTACTTCTGGGAGGTAAAAGCAAGTCAGAATCAAAGCTGCATTTGTTCTCTTGGCATTGCTGCTTTGCTCTTATAGCATTGCCACAAGGAACCTTGTCTTTTATAGAGTGGCAATTCGTTTGTTTTAAACAGATTTGATAATCTGCTATTACCATAATAGGACTTGGAATTTTCTGGGCATTAAAATATGTTTAATAAATTATTGAAAATGCTGGAAAAAAATGAATCCTGATAGTACTTCATGAAAATTAAAGATTGAGCCTTGAGAAGATTCCAGTACTGAGAACTGAAAAGAGCTGAGTTGGAGTGATAGGGGGTGATTAAAGAAATAGGATTCACTCTCTGGTAGTTTAGAAACTCCTCCCAAAAATTCAGCTTTTCTGCTTGTTATAAAATCACAGTTGGTTGTAAAATTGCCTTTGTTGATTTTTTGGTAATCATAATAAAGTTTAAAGTTTGAGGTAAGCTCTAATGGTGTGGTTTTAAGCACCAGCTACGTATAAAGCAGTGGTCACCAACCAATCAGGATCTATTGGTAGAGAAAGGCAGAGCAGGGGGTCTCCAAGTGCTGTCTGCAGACACTACTCCTGCAGCCCCCATTGATCAGTAATGGGGAACTGTGGACAGTAGAAGCTGTGGGCTCAGGGCCTGTAACTGAGGGGCAGCACATACAGCCATTACTGTACATGCCAGCTGCTTTTAGGAGTGGTGCAAAGCCAAGGCATAGGCCTGTCTTAACCTCACTGATCCACCACCATCAATTAAAGGGTGCCCAGCCAAAGCCTGCTTCCTGAAGCTCTGTCCCAGCCCTAAACTCCCCTTCTACACCCAACCTCCTGCCCCAGATGAGTTCCCTTGCACCCAAACTCCTTCCCAGAGCTTGCACCCGAAACCCCTCCTGGACCCCAATCCCCTGCCCTGGGATAAGACTGGAGACCCTCCCGTACTCCAATTTGGGCTGGAACAGGGGTTCAAGAACTGCATTCATGGATATTTGTTTGTTTGGAATTATTTCTATACACAAATTTTGTTTGCGGTCCACAGGTTAATTTAATGATGGAACAAAATAAACTTAATGACACAATGAAATTGTTTCAGATGCAGATACTCTGCATTAGCAGTGACAAACAAAGAGCTAATGCCCCATTCCCAGCTGGTGTGCCTTTCACAGCTCTATCTGGGGATTAGTTCTTCCCAGTGAGATGTCCCCTTACTTCTCTTAGCTCCTGATGTGATCTGTCATGCTCTCTAGGAGTCAGTGTTTCCTCTTCATGGCTTGACCCTCCAGTTAGAACACTTTGCAGTTTTCCCTTCAAGGGTAACACAGTCTCACCAGACCAGCCACTGTCCTAAAGGCTGGAAGGAGAACCTAAGTCTACCTCCTACTCTGGGTTCCAACCCAGGCACCCTACTCCATGGATCAGTATTGCCCGTAAAGGTGTTAATATCGGATGCTGATGGTTACTGGAATTGCAGTGAATCGGGTAATATGTCCATGTACCATTCCTGTCTAGTGGGTGGCATTTTAATTGTTCCATTGTGTTCTAGTTCCTCTGCTGCTAATAGTTAATGGTGATTTATTAAGAAGTGAGATGTGCTTTTAGATCAGCAATGGGCAACCTAAGCTAATGAGTGGGCTGCATGAATGCCCCTCCTTCATCTCAGTGGGCAGCAAGATTGTTGTAACCAAGACGATCTCCCAAGATAGGGTAGTTCTGCTAACTGCGCTGGCGTACCTAGAGTTCGTGGCGTGTGCTGATTGAACCGTATCAGTACTTTGGATGCAGAGGGAGCATAGGGCTTTTACAGTCAACATTGCATGCAATCAGAATGCACCTCACTTCATGTGCCCTTGATTTACATGTGTGTTACTGTAGTAATACCAATACAAAAATAAATGACCCTGACAGAAACCAGCAAAAATTGGCAATCCTGTGCATGAGCAATGGTAAACAAAATATTTTACGGACAGCACAAAGAACTCTGATGGGCCACGTGTGGCCCACCCATGTTTTGGATGCTGCAACATCTGTGCATGGTGGTTTGTTATGAAGCCCACCATGTACTAAGCAGACATAACAAAATGCACAGTGCCTTTTTAATACTGCTCCTTGACAACTCTTAAGCACAACCCCTCCATAAATGAACTTGGTGGGTTTATTAATGTCACATTTTACGTTTTAATGTTCATTATTGTGCAAGTGTCTAATTCTTCACAGTGTAAGAGAAGGGGGCAAAATCATAGAAAAATATCAACTTTTTACTGTTGGAGCAGGCTCTGCTATGGATTTCTAGGTCAGGAAATGAAAAAAAAAAAAAAAAAAGACAAAGATTCCTACAACATGTAGGGGAAAGTTATGGTAAATTCTCTTTTACGTGGCATTAACTAATCCTTGACCACCCAGGCTATTATTATTCATGCAGTGATAATACCCACAACACCACAGTACTTCCTTTCTACACAAAACTCTGTCCCAAACAGCTCACAGTCTAGGACTTTATTGTTGTCACTAGGGTGTACACTACAGGCAGTCCCCGAGTTACGCGGATCCGACTTATGTCGGATCCGCAGTTACCAACGGGGCCCGTCTCCCTGGTCTCCAGCAGACCAGGGAGAGGAAGCAAAGCGGCGGAGCACGCGGGCAGCGGACAGCCCAGACGCGTCTGGGCTGTCCGCTGCCCGCGTGCTCCGCCGCTTTGCTTCCTCTCCCTGGTCTGCTGGAGACCAGGGAGACGGGCCCCGTTGGTAACTGCGGATCCGACATAAGTCGGATCCGCGTAACTCGGGGACTGCCTGTAGTGTACACCCTAGTGACAACAATAAAGTCCTAGACTGTGAGCTGTTTGGGACAGAGTTTTGTGTAGAAAGGAAGTACTGTGGTGTTGTGGGTATTATCACTGCATGAATAATAATAGCCTGGGTGGTCAAGGATTAGTTAATGCCACGTAAAAGAGAATTTACCATAACTTTCCCCTACATGTTGTAGGAATCTTTGTCTTTTTTTTTTTTTTTTTCATTTCCTGACCTAGAAATCCATAGCAGAGCCTGCTCCAACAGTAAAAAGTTGATATTTTTCTATGATTTTGCCCCCTTCTCTTACACTGTGAAGAATTAGACACTTGCACAATAATGAACATTAAAACGTAAAATGTGACATTAATAAACCCACCAAGTTCATTTATGGAGGGGTTGTGCTTAAGAGTTGTCAAGGAGCAGTATTAAAAAGGCACTGTGCATTTTGTTATGTCTGCTTAGTACATGGTGGGCTTCATAACAAACTTGCTCCTTGATTGTAGCAAAATTGGGTATTTTCTGTCCTTTCTTCTATGCTCATCGTAAAGACGACAAAGTTAAAATGTGTTCTACAAATGTCCTTTGTCATGTTCTTGTTTCTGCATGTCACCAGGACTTTCTGAAAAAGGCATAAAAAGAATACAGTTATCTAGATAGCGATGATAAGCTCAGATAAAGAGGGGCATCAGGCATCTGTCCAGTATTGTTTACTGTAGCAGTTCTCCAATTTTACCATTTCACACAGAAAGGTCTTCATATTCTCTCAACTATTAGCTCTCAAGTGATGCCCTCCCTGCTATGCAAGGTGTCGTTTACAAGAGAGAAAAGCTGTGGATGGCTAGGGGAACTGGAGGCCAGTGGAGATGAATGAATGTGTAGGCAAAAGTAGAATTGCAGAGATCTTGCACTTAGTGCAGTAGGAGAGGGGAAACTACTCCACACTTTTGAGTATAGAGTAACTTAGGGTAATGATCCTGATAGCATTTTCTAAAGTAGACTGATTGGAAGGGAGCATAAGTTTATACACTTTTCCTTTATATATTTACTTTGGATCAATAATGATAAAAAAAGAGACAAATTTCAGTTCAGATTAATGATTAACAAGTTTGACATTCATGTAAGTATATGGCATTAATTGCTCTGCACAGTATAATTCATCATTCAAACACTTCACAGTGAAAGGAGCAAAATAGTTAAATCCTAATTCCAACAGAGGGGCGAGTTTTTACAAGTTTCAATTGTAGGCCTTTTTCAGTTTTTATTCCGTGAAGCATTTATGTAGCTCTTCTTTGCTACAATTAGCACATGGTTTAGCACTGGTTCCACATGGTTTAAAGATACATTTATAGCAGTGTTTCTCAATGAGTGGTACGAGTACCCCTAGGGGTACATGAGAGAAGTCTGGGGGGTACGTCAACACAACTGAAATTTGGAGAAAAACTGAATTTTTGTGTTAAGTTTTACAGCACTTTATTTTTGTACTTTTTACATCCAAAAATTTCATCACCCGCCCAGTTACGATTAAGTTATTTAAACAAATGTGTTGCAATGGTAGAAAAAAAATTTGTGTGTCTGAAAACTATAGGTACTGGGGGTACTTTATAATTTTTAAAGGGGTACTTTATAAAAAAAAAAGGTTGACACACACTGATTTATAGAACCCAGTGTTACAGAATGTAACGTGACAAACCTGTTTAATGATACTTGCAGGCATCTTTCCCAGGAAACCTGCAGCTAGTCCTTGTTCTGCGCCCAACAGGATTTATCCACCGAACTCTCTCAGACCTCGCTTTCAAATTCAACAGAGATGAATTTAAAATGAAGGTACCAGTAAGTATTTCTTTGCCTCAACTATACTGGCGGTGACCTATTAAGGTACTTAATCCAGACAGTGTGCATATTAGCAAATTTTTAAAAATTGCTTACATGTTACTTTAACAAGTTGCTAATATTCCCTTCTTGAGAATGGTACTCAAGTGGGTGATGGTATTGCAACTATAAGCTTTCTTGAAACAGAATATTTAGATCCATTTCAGTCTGGCTATAGGCTGGGTTTTGGAACTGAAACTGCCTCAGTCGCCCTGGTAGACAACCTACACTGGGAGATAGACAGGAGGAGTCTCTTGGACCTCTCAGCGGCTTTTGATACCATTGACCATGGTATCCTTCCGAATGCCTGGCAGAGTTGGGTATTGGAGGCACTGTTCTGCAGTGGTTCCAGTCTTACCTTTGGGATGCTTTCAGAAGGTGGAGCTAGTGGTGATTGTGCTATGGGGTCCCGCAAGGTTCTGTCTTGTCCCCTATGCTGTTTAACATCTACATAAAGCTGCTGGAAGAGGTCGTAAGGAGGATGGTGACATCGATATGCAGATGACACCCAACTCTATTTCCCTCCTGACATCAGAACCAGGTGTGGCAGTAACTGATCTAAACCGGTGTCTGGACATGGTGATGGACTGGATGAAGTCAAATAAGCTGAAGTTGAATCCAGATAAGACTGAGGTCCTGTGGATCAGGAGGCCATCTGTTCAGGAATGTGGCATGGTACCTGTTCTAGACGGGGTTATTCTTCCCCTGAATGAACAAGTATGCAGCTTGGGAGTCCTCCTGGACCCTTTTTTAACATTTGAGAACCAGATTTCTTCGGTGGCCAGGAGTGCTTTTGGGCATCTTCATCTGATCCGCCAGCTGCGACCTTTCCTGAACAAGCATGACTTGGCCACAGTGATCCATGCTCTTGTTACATCCCAACTGGATTACTGTAATGCGCTTTATGTGGGGCTGCCTCTAAAGAGTCTTCGGAAACTTCAACTGGTGCAGCTGCTGGAGTTTTAACTAATACTTGTTATATAGAGTATATTATGCAAGTGCTCTGGCAGCTGCACTGGCTTTCTGTATGTTTCCCGGCACAATTTAAGGTCTTGGTTATGACCTATAAAGCCCTAAATGGGTTGTCCAGGGTATCTGAAGGATGATCTATTCTCATATGAACCTGCCCTGGGGATTGAGATCAGCTGGGGAAGCTCTGCTCAGTGTTCCTCCACTTCTGGAGATAAGATTAACATCTACGCAGAACAGGGCCTTCTCAGCTTTTGCTCCCAGGCTGTGGAATGCTCTTCCTCGGGATATTCACATGGCTCCAACGTTAGAATTGTTTCAGCATCAGGCTAAAGCCACCCTTTTTACTTGTGCTTTTATTGGGGGGTGGAGGGGTCTAGATGTTTTTAGCAAGCTTTATGTCCCCTATGGAATCTTGTATTTTAATTTTATATATATATTTTTTTTTATTGTGTGTGAAAATATTTTTGTAAGATGGAGCAAAAATATTTAAATGAGCAAATAAATAAATAAATAAATTTGTCTGTACTGTTCCATGCTGTTGTTCTGTTCCCAAGGAGTTTTTTTTTTTTTTGTCAAATAAAAGTATTTTTAACTTGTGAGTAAACATAAAATGAGTGATCTAATATCACGCACTTAGCTAAACTCTAGAATTTTTATTAACATATGTAAATGCACAGATTTGTTATGTAAAATATAGTGTATGTACTTTTAAAAGACCATTTTGTTCATTTATATCTTTGTATTGTGTGTGTGTGTGTGTGTGTGTGTGTGTGTGTGTGTGTTTACATCGTTGAACAGCAGGAGAATGATTTCATTCCCAGCTGTTTTCAAGTTCATTACTGAATATCATTTATGTTTGCTAACACTTCTGTTTCTCCAAACTAAAACCCCTTATATGTAATGTAATTTTTAATAATACACAGCTATGGGGCCTGGGTTTGTTTCTTTTTCAACCCAGTCTTCTTTTTCTCTCCCCCTCCACCCCAAGATTATTTGTGGGAACAATTAATGAACATTTAAGTAACAACTACTTTACTGCAATCACAAAATAGTAGCCACTTAAAATTTTGGGTGAAAATGTGCAGTCTCAATTATGTTTCCCTGAAAAGTGGAACCTGAATTTTTTTACAATATAGTATCACTGGGCAATTTATTATGTGACTGAGGAATGGTCTACACTACTATGATAAATCAATGTTATTTGCACAACTTCTGTTATGTGAACAGTGTAATTGAAGTTGACATAGTTAGATCCACTTACCGCAGTGGCTACACTGCACTGTGTTGATAGCAGAGCGTTTCCCTTTGACTTTCCTTATGCTTCTCAGGGAGGTGGAGAACACAAATTGATGGGAGAGTGTTCTGCCATTGATTTAATGTGTCTTTACCAGGCCCTGATTGCATTGAAAGCAGCAGTGCCAATCTACCAGCAAGTGTAAACATACCCTTTAAGCACCTTTTTCTTTTGCACAGATGACTCTTTTTATCCTATCTATAGGGACATCCTCTGCAAATTCAAAAATGTGGGTTATATTTTGGAACTAAAGCAAACATTTAAAACTCCTGTTGCGTGCTATTGCATGCTGCATTTTGGTTCTCTCCCTTTCTCCAACATATCTTTGATGTCATTGGTATGATGTGAATTAACTGAATACCATAGCTTTAAGAAAATAGCCGTATATTGTGTGCCAAAAGCAAGACTGATGGCACTATGTTATACTGTACAAATGCCTTCCTCAAAACATACTACGTAGCATAAATAAAATGCTGGTGATTATGTCTGCATTCATTACATTTGTAATATCTTCCAGCTTAAATTAATTTTGTGTGCTGTTGTATACATGAAGGGAACAAATCCACCCTATGCTTCTTCCCTTGATTTCAATATCCTGAGTAAAGAATGTAGGATTTGTTCCAAAGTTTCTAATGTGATTCTTGTCATTGATTTGGTCATATGTGGGGCCCTACCAAATTCATGGCCTTGAAAAACGCATCACAGACCAATGAAATCTGGTCTCTCCCACCTCCCCTGTGAAATTTGGTGTTTTGTGTTTTTACCCTGTACTGTTTCACAGGAGAGACCAGCATTTCTCAAATTGGGGTCCTGACCTAAGAAGGAATTACAGGGGAGTCAGTGTTATTTTCGGGGAGTTGTAGTAATGCTACTCTTATTTCTGTGCTACCTTTAGAGGTGGGTGGCCACAGCGCGGTGGCTGTTGGCCTAGTATTCAGTTCTGAAAACAGCACTCCGCAAGTAGCAGCACACCCCAGAAGTACGGGTGACAGTACCATGCCATGCTTGCTTCTGTGCTGCTACTATAAGAGCTGGATGGCCGAGAGTAGTGGTTGCTGATTGAGGGCCCAGCTCTGCAGGCAGCAGCACAAAAGTAAGAGTGTCAATACCATACCATGCCATCCTTAATTCTGAGCTGCTACTGGCAGTGGTTCTGCCTTCAGAACTGGGCTCCCAGCCAGCAGCTGCTGCTCTCCAACTGCCCAGATCTAAAGGCAGCGCTGCTGCCAGCAGGAGCACAGAAGTTGAGTAGCAGTACTACAATAACTTTGTGACCCTGACTCATAATCAGGTTACAGCCCTGTGAAATTTCAGATTTAGATTCAGATAGCTGAAATCCATGAAATTTATGATTTTTAAGATCCTACGACTATGAAATTAACTGACTAGAATTGACTCTAGTCATATTAATTCTCTTCTTTTATGGTTGCAGATCATAATGCTGGGCTCACTAACAGAATTGCATGGTTACATTGACAAAACACAGCTAACAGAAGAACTTGGTGGCACTCTGGATTATTGCCACAACAGATGGCTCTCTCATCGCACTGTAAGTCTTAGTTGGTGTTTTTTATTTTTCACAGTTTAATGGTCTCTCCTGTTTTATACTTTTGTCCTATATAAAACACATTCTGGTTAATGCAAGCTGACATCAATTGAGTGAGGAAATGATCCCAGTGGTACTTAAGTCATCTCAATGAAATAACATAAGTAATGTGTTTGGGAGTGGTTTTCTTAGGACTTTGGAGCAAAAGAATATTATTGTTTGGGGCTGGGCTGGTAATGTTACAAGAGAGGGAAAAGGCTCAAGTTAAAAAATGGTTTAAAAAGTTATAAAAATGTGCAGAGAACACCTCTGATGTGAGTATAGATAAAATTTGTGGTTAGGAAGCTAATGGTGAAGGTGTTTTATTTACAGCTCTTGCTGACAAAATATTCTTTAAAAGAAACATTGATATCAAACTTTTAATTGTAGTCGTAAGTTTGCATTTTTCTATGGGTGTGGGTGTGTGTGTGGGTGTGTGTGTGGGTGTGTGTGTGGGTGTGTGTTCAGAGCATGAAATGTTTTTAATTATTTTATATTCCAAAAGGCCATAGAAAGTTTCGCCCTAATGGTTAAGCAAACAGCTCAAATGCTTCAGTCCTTTGGGACTGAATTGGCTGAAACAGAACTACCAAATGATGTGCAATCAACCAGCTCCCTACTTGCAGCACATACTGAAAAGAAGGACAAAATGAAGGTAGGTGTGTCGTATGAAAGTGCTTTTAGTTAGACTTTAATTACTACTAGCAGTAAAAATACTGTTAAAATTTGAAAGCTTTTGTAAAATACTTAATGCTTTGAGACCTTTGAAATCTTCTTAATGCTACTGTTACCTTATTTTCACTAAAGATCAACCCAGGGTTACACACACATTGCTTTTATTAAATGCTGCTGTTGAATTAAATGGAAAAGGAATTGAACCTGATCTCTCTCTCACATCCATACACTCATATTCAAACAAACCAACCCCATCTTGCTTTTGCTAAAGTTACCAGTCTGTTGCTCACATTAACTCACTGGCCAAGAGAATTAAATGCAAGGGGGAAGAGTGAGGGCTTCCCTCATTCTGGACTGATGGTTCGATCTTGATGAGACAAGCCTCGGAGATTCATGCAAGATGCCCTATCTTTTATAGGACTTTTTCTCCCATTCAAATCTATACCTTTTGCTGTGTTAGTTCTTAATCAATCAGGCGATGTCTACACTCACAGCTTCTTGCGCGAGTAATATGCAAATGAGGCTAAGCGTGGAATATCGCTGAGCCTCATTTGCATACCTAATGAGCCACCATTTTTTTCAGAAGAGGCTCTTGTGCAAGAAGGAGCATCTACACTGCCCCTTCTTGCTCAAGAAAAACCCTCTTGCTCAATGCCGTTCTTCTTGAAAAGTAATAGGTGTAATGGCACTGTGCAAGAAGGTTTTTCTTGTGCAAGAAGGGGCAGTGTAGATGCTCCTTCTTGCACAAGAGCCTCTTTTGAAAAAAATGGTGGCTCATTAGGTATGCAAATGAGGCTCAGCGATATTCCACGCTTAGCCTCATTTGCATCTTACTCGTGCAAGAAGCCACAAGTGTTGACATAGGATCACTGTTTTAACATCTATTTATCTGGAAGTCATTCTTCTTTGCCAACTGACATCAGTATGTTGGTGCCTCCTTCCCAGTGTTATTTCAAGTCTGTCTTGTATGTAAAAAGGTGCTTGCTCTTAACACTCCAAGGTTATCCATAATGTCCTGCATAAGTCTACTTTGTTTTGGGCTTCAATTTGTGGTACCTTGACCCCTCTTCTCCAAATATTCAAATTCCAAACTCATTCACCCCCTCTCTCCAGGCACTACACAGTTGTTTCACACATGGGTAAAGGGATACAATTGTCCATACAAAAAAATCAATCTATCAATCTATTTCAGTACAAAGAATCATTCGTCAGATCTTCTTTATAACACAATCTATATTACAATTACATCTAAGAGCAACTGTGTGATCATGCTAAATCACAAGAATCCTTCTGATTTCTTCCTCACATACTGGGATATTACGGAGCTCAAAAGGTTATAACACTTACATTCACAGTATACTGAAACTTACATTTATATTATACTGTATTAGGTTGGAGGCTTTACTCACAGCTACCTGGCAGTATTTGAAGGTTAATACTAATCTTTATTCCTTGCACAAAATAATCCTGGAGGCTAAGAATATATAGCACATACAAAATATAATCTTATGTTTGTGTAATGGAAATTGCTGTATAACCAAAGGTGTAATAATGGGGATATTTTTATTTTAATTATTTTTTTAAAAAATCATAACAATTTGTGTGCATACACTTGAAATTATTATTAAAAAGGGGCAAACCAGTTCAGATACTATTTTTTAAATCAATAATTTGAACCAAAACTAGTCTGCCAGCAGTTTCAAAATACAACAGCAAAAATTCTCAAGGTAAGGGTGGCACCAACCAGAAGCACTGGAATTTAGAAGAAGTGACTACTATCATGAAACTTCCAACTCAGATTTGAAAGGTTGGAACAAGCTTGGAAAACACTGAGGTTTAACATTCAATACCTTTAGTTCATTACTTGTAATCAAATGACTTTATTAAATTGTTCTCACTTTTCTTTCTATAAAGATCACTTTATCTATAGTGCTTTGCAAGATGTCTTTAGAAAGACCACTAAAAACATGTGTTGGGTTTTTTGTTGTTGTTGTTGTTGTTGTTATTGTTTTCTGCAGGAGGATTTGAGGTTAGCATTAAAACACGGACATGATATCCTTGAAAGTATTAGAAAGCCAATTACTGAGAACCCTGACTACAAACTCAACCAAGATCAGCTTGACAATCAAACCACGGTGGAAAGGTGAGATGGATGAATTATGGAGTATGCATTAGTTTTTACTTGCACATTTTTTTCTAGTATTTAGTTTTTATACTCACAATACCTGGCAAAGTGATTCAATGTGGCCAATATTTAGAAGGTATTAGTAGTTGATAGCTTGTCTGCTCCAAAAGCTTTGTTGAACAAAGTTCTGCGAGGTTCTGTTTTGTCTCCTTTGCTGCTTAGACTGCATGTGAGGGAGATCAGGATTCATTTGGAATTTCAGCACCAGCAGTATGCTGCTGATGTTGCTCTGTCTCAATTTCATCTGGCACAGATTAAAGATGTTAAATATCAGTTAATTTACTAGTTGATAGCCATTTGTGCATTCCTCTTTTGAAATGTACAAGAGCCCCAGCTCTTTTTTTAGAAATTGCCTGAATAAATAAATAGATTCACATTTACTCAGTTCAGTTATAGATATTAAAGCTTCTCCTCTGGTTGGGTATGTCTACACTAGCCACCCTAGTTCAGACTAGGATGGCTAATGTAGTCACCTGCCCGCGGCTACATGCGGCATGGGCTAGGTAGTTCGAACTAAAGCTCCTAATTTGAACTACCGTTACTACCTCATTGCAGGAGGAGTAATGGTAGTTCAAATTAGGAGCTTTAGTTCGAACTACCTAGCCCATGCCGCATGTAGCCGCGGGCAGGTAGCTCGAACTACCAGGCATTTAAAAATGGCGGCGCCCGGGAACATGCAAATGAAGCCCGGATATTTAAATTCTGGGCTTCATTTGCAAGTTCGAATGACATGTATATAGCATAAAGCTGCAGATTGATAGTCTCTGCATAGGAGAGAGGTATATAAAGGGTAACACAAACCAGAATTTAAGTGTGGGTATGTACCACATCAGGATCTAACCATTGCTATTAATTTTCCAAAAATGCTAACGTTCATGATGGATTTCTGTTTTACGTCAGTATTATTCAATAAACTATTGACATGCAATATCAAAAATGAGGAAAAGCTAACTAGTAGTTAGCACTGGCTCCTATCCTGCTAACAATAGTGCATCCAATTCAGTGTTTCTTGAAGTGGTCTGAGAAATCACTTTGAGAAACCTGCTAATTGACCACCCGAGTTTGTTTTTACTTACCGGCGCCATGGCCACCGAGCCTTACCACTCCCGTTGGCTCCAGTTTGCCATTGGCAGTCAAGGGGAGCTGCGGGAAGTGGCGGCCCAGCCCACACCAATTCCTGCAGCTCCCCTGGGTTGCAAACAGCAAACTTGAGCCAATGGGAGCCATGAGGCTTTGTGGATGCAGCTCTGGTAAGTAAACAAACTGATGCTGCTGGTTAGCAGGTTTCTGAAAGTAGTTTCGCGGACCACTTTGAGAAACACTGATCTAATTGTTTAGAAAAAGATTACTTAAAGGGAGGCTTTGAGTTGTCCACTAAAAGATACTATTGTCTCTCAGACTGTAGCCATCTCTTCAATGCTGTACTCTCTTTTAGGCTTCTGGATCAGTTAGATGAAACAGAGATTGCCTTTGATGAATTTTGGACTAAACACCATCAAAAGCTTGAGCAGTGTGTACAGCTTCGGAATTTTGAACAAGTTTTTGGAGAGGTGAGAATTTCTTGATGCTATTTAAATATTTTACATTTGTGTGTCCACTTTCATTTCCAAAGGACCCAAAACCATTTTCCAGATTATTTATATGTAACACTCTAATCCTTAAAGTAGTGTGTTTTTTCTTCAATCTATTTCTGCATCTCTCATGTGCAATTGAAAATTTTCTTACAGACTTTTTTCTTGTACTTTCCTCAGGCTATGTCTAGACTACAGAGGTTTTTTGGGAAAAAACTTCACTTACATCCACACTGCAATGCGTTCTTTCAAAAAAAAAATACAAGAAACAGAGGGGTTTTTCCGACATTGGTAAAGCTCTTTCTATGAGGAAGAAGCCTTTTTCCAAGAGAGCTCTTTTGGAAAAAGGCATGTGTGTATGGGGAAGAGGGAGTTCTTTCGAAAGAAGAGGAAAAAGCACAAGTGCACTGGTCCCACTGTATCCATAGTAATCACAGTTTAAATGCGAGATCGCTTCCATTCAGTGCGGATGCTATCTTTCAAAAAAGCAGGTCACTTTTTTGATGTGCTTTGGCAGTGTGGACACTCTCTTTCGGAAGAAGTTTTTTCAGAAGATCTCTTCTAGAAAAGCTTCTTCCGAAAGAAGCCTGCAGTCTAGATGTAGCCTCAGTCTTATATTCCATTATCACAGTATGTACCCTCTGAGTAGTCCGCTATTGTCCATGATACTTCAAGGATTATCATTCAGAAATAATGTTTACAATGATGTTGCAACCATATAGGTCCCAAGATATGAGACACACCAGGTGATCTTTTATTGGATCAACTTCTATTGGTGAAAGAGATGAGCTTTAGAGCTCTTCAGATCACTATGAAAGTAGGAGCCTCATTGACTTGAATATTTCTCTCTAAAGACGAAGTGTTCTACTTGCAGTGTTCTGATCTCCACTGACCAGCAGGCATAGGTGTTCAGTGGTCCCTTCCAAATCAATTCTTGTGTAGAAGCATATTATGCTAGCTATATAGCACTAGTCTTATTACTGAGGAGGTGAAATCATCCTCTTGAATATATTGTTGTCTCATTTCAGGTCAAAGCAGCTTTAATTATAGTGTCTGAGAGACTATCAGCTTTCACAGATGTGGGGAACAGCTGTGCACATGTGGAGCACATTCTGAAGGCTCTTGCCAACTTTGAAGAAAAATCACATGTAAGTTCTTGTAATTTCTCCATAGACTAAGAACTATAATATATTTTTGCTTTTTGAAAAAGATGAGCAGGAACTAGTAATTGAATATATTTTTTGACCCAGAATCACAATTCAGAAATGGACAGAATGTGTCTTTTCCTCACAATGATTTAAACAACCAGTATCATGACAATTTTAGAACTGAGAAGAATGTATCACAAAATTAAAAATGTTGCTAGACACACAAATGGAGAACTTTTTTCAGTTTTTTATGGGTATTTTGTAGTGGAATAGTTATATACTTTTGTCTATATAGACCATTATTGTATAGTCCCTTGGTTAGGACACTGGTCTGGGATTCAGGAGATCTGGGTTTGTTTTCTGATTCTGCCACAGCTTCCACTTGCAACTTTGAACATGTCATTTAATCTGTCTGCGCCACAGTGCCTCATCTGCAAATGAATGATGATAGTACTTCTGACTGCACTGGTGATGTAAGATTATACCCACACAGATGCCATATTGAAGAGGAGTACCGAGGCACTGGGACATCAGGAAAGAGGAGAACAACTTGAGTTGTTAGACAATGTGACAGTTAACAGTTTAATCCATGAAATTATTTGCCTAGCAAATCAATGCACTTTTCCATAATAGAATACATGTTTATGAACTTTATTTTGGAAGCTTTTTGAAGAATGCCTAACAAAAGATGTACCTAAAACTGTTTTAGGAATCCTTAGAAAAAGCTAACGTGCTGGCTTCTGAAGGTGACCAGCTTGTTCAAAGCAACCACTATGCTGTGGACTCCATTCTTCCCAAGTGCAATGAGCTCCATCATCTCTGTGATGCGTTTACAACAGAGATAAAAAATAAGAAAGATCATCTTACCAAATCTTTGGAACTGCACAGTCTTTTGGAGAAGGTAGATTTTATATGAAATGGTTCTGCTTCCCATCTCACTTGCTAATAATATTGCAAACATGTGATAGTCCCATGTGTTTGAAAGTAAGTGATGACTAGTAGAGAGGGAATGTTTCCAGTGTAAAGTGAGCTTTTGCTAATAGGGAGCTAAAGCATCAGAGACAGATGTTTTTTTTTCCCCCTCACATAATTGTAAATGTACAAAGTGTATTCTGCAAACCATTCAATTGTTCGTGCTGATGTGGGGTTTTTTCCTCCTGTTTTCTTTTGTGTTTCCAGTCTATGAGATGGTGTGATGAAGGCATTTACCTGCTAGCATCACAGCCTGTAGACAAATGCCAGACCCAGGATGGAGCAGAGTCAGCTTTACAGGAGATTGAGAAATTCCTGGACACTGGGGCAGACAATAAAATCAATGAACCGAATAAAGTTTACAAATTATATGAACCCATTCTCAACCAGGATCTAATGGTACTCTTAGTATTTATGCATGTGCACATATTTATAGTCACTGTTAATTTTAGATTGTGTTTTATGCAGGACTGATGTTAATGGTAAGCCACAGATCTAGCCTCTTTGGCCACTGAATTTTTATAGGCGCTTATAAGCCTGATTGCTTATTCTACTCCCCGGTTCTACATGCAGTATCTGGCAGCAGCACTGTGGGGAGAGGGAGAGCTGCGAACTGCAGCACGGATATTGCTCTATCCTAGCCCTACTTTTATGTAGCCCCAGCACTGCTTTTATTGATGGGGATATGGAGAGGGAGAGATGGTCTACCCCTTTTAAGACTTCTCCTGCAGCAGTTGAGGTTGCTTCCTAGGACAGCTTTAATTTAAGATACTTAGTAGTTCTACTTCTTCCAGGGCACTATGCACCTGTGAATGTGTATAGGAGTCACAGGACAAACATGGATGTCATGAGCATGTTGTCCTAAATTCTTAAGTGACATAGTGAAAATGGGTCTAGGTCCCATTTGCAACAGTGATTCAGGCACTTAGGAGGCTAAGTCCCATTGGCTTTCTTTCACTAATTGCTGAACTCCATTTTAAAAATGGGACTTATACTCATACGTCACTTACATTTTCCCTTAATGTGTAAATCTGAATCAGTAATGATTTAATTGCCCTAAATTTAGCACATGATCAGCAGTGAAATGCTTTGGTGATGTACCTTTACATAATTGGGACTAAATGACTCAGTCTGGCATTACACATTATATTTTAGTTAGAATGAGTGAAGAATTTCTCATTTTGAAGTTGAGAACATTATTTCTTCATGCTCCTTTTCTGCTGTACAAAAGTAGCACAATCTGGAGGTCAGTGTACCATAAAAGACAGCATGGTTGGTTTGTGGGTTTATTCAGAATTATTATTATGTTATGCTATTTGTACAGGAACATGTGCAAAAAGTTTTTCAAAAGCAAGAAAGCATGGAAGAAATGTTTCAAAAGAGACAAGCAAGCCTAAAGAAACTAGCAGCTAAGCAAACCCGTCCGGTTCAGCCAGTGGCACCAAGACCTGAGGTGTTAGTAAAATCTCCTTGCGTCTCTCCAGGTAACTACAAAAAAAGCCATTAAATTAGGTGTCTTCACTAAGCCAATGAACTTGAAAAGAATTTAAGCTATTCTCTGGTTGCACAAATGATCTGTCAAACTTGCTCCAGTTTAACAGCTGCCGTTTGATTCTGTACCAGGTCTTCATCGAGGTTCTGACTATGTGTCCAGCCTAGATGGTAATCTCCGGAGAATGAACTACAGAAGAGTAAAAGTAATTCTGAATTTATTTCATGTTGATTATTCTCTCCACCGTGCATGCGTGCACACAAACTAGAGAAAGTCACACTGCTTTGTAAAGTCACAGAACTCAAAGAAATACAGAAAGTGTCAGAGGAAAGAGCTTTGATAAATTAAGTTTTGATTACACAGAGTTCTGTTTTGTCCTCTAAGATTGTAATATTGCCCTGAGACACTTCTTGTTGTGAAAAGAACCAAAAGCAGAACCATTCTATGTTGGCAATCTGGCTTCCTCTTTTGTGGGACACCCCATTTATACAGATAATCTTTCATTCTTTTGCCCTCCAATTTGCCTCACAGTTTTCTGTTAATAGTTGCAGCCTTTCTTGTGAAATCAAGATAGTTCTTTGTGTCAGTGACGTAGCAAATAGACTGGAACTGCATTTTCCTGTTTTCCTCCCATGTACATTTTCACTTTGTGTTCCAGAGTGAAATGGGTGAATTCCATCAAAACAGAGTTGGGTCAGTGATGGATGATGAAGAAAACTTAGCTGTGTTACGAAGGTGGGTGTACTTGAGGTACCACAGCCAACATGTTGGTCTGATTAGACTGATTAACGTCTACTAATACATTTTTGTTCAGCAGATTCAGATGGCTATGATGTAGCCATGGGAGTTTGTAAAATGGACCTCCATCTTGCACAAGTCCTTACAAGTTGTCTTCCTTCAGTGAGAGTAATATGGGAGGATTTTGTCATCTTAAACATCTCAAAATTGTATTTTCCAGCCTCATTTGTGTTTGGTCTTGTGCTCTGCTTCCTTAAACTTTAGCTAAATAAATCATCTGTAGAAACATACCTTCCATTGCACCATTGAATATGACCCCACCATTGCAGTAATCTTTTCCTTGGCTGGTGTAAGACTGCAGCTTGTTGTGATTGTCTAAGTATCTTCTCATTTGTGACAAAATTAAACCAACAGATTTGAAAATAATGCTGTAACTTTTCAAAAATGAACCTTAAGAAAACTGTTTAGTTTTACATTTGATTAAGGTTCAGAGAAGCATCTAAGCTTTCATATGTTTCTCTGAATCAAGTCTCTAAACTTTGAGGTGAATTTATTACTAAAGGTAATCTAAGCTAGTGGACCTGAATCAGCTGTGCTCTGGAGGATATTCTCCCATTTTTAGTCGGTAGCTTGTATTTTGATTATATCCTATATCTAATTTCACTTCCTCTGGGCCAACTTTCAATGATAAATGCATTAGTGAAAGGGGATTTTAAAGTTTCAGTTCAGGCTTGAGCAGTTATCGAGCCTTCAATGAACTACCAAGAGTTGTTTGGTCTCCATACTTCGAAATTTTTAGATGATTTTTCCTAAAAAATTGTCTGGTTGGTTGATTGGAGTTCAAGCTGAAGGACAGAAGAAAAAAATGGGTATAAATTGGTCTTCTAATTTCCATCTGAAATGTACTGATGGTTTCTAAGCATGAGGAGTGCATTTCTGAACAGCCTCCCAATAGGAGTTGTGGACAGCAAGCAACTTAATCAGTTTTAGGCATGAGATTGACAAATTTATCAGTGGGATTATATGGTGGAGCAGGAGCTGTCTTAAAAGTGGGATTATATGGTGGGATTGCTTGTGGTAGTGGGGAGCCAGAGCTCAGCAGACCTGGCGTCCCTTCCAATTCACACTGAATCTTCCCAGAATCTGATTCTTCAGGACTTCAGCTAGTTCCTCCTGCAGAGATCAGGAAAGGTTCCCCTTCCTCCAGTGTATTCTGTTGTCGTTTTTTTTCTCCTTCCTCTGAAATATCTGAGATGGCTGCTACTTGAGATAGGACACTGGATGGGTTGGACTAGTTTGAGTACACGCCTACACTACAGTGTTATTTTGAAATAAGTTATTTCGGAATAATAACTCTCAAAATAACTATTTCGAAATAGCGCATCCACACTACAACTCCCCATCAAAATAGCACAGATCTATATTGAAATAGCATGTCCATTCTGATTGGAGCCTGAATCACATTTAAGGCCTGCCGGAAGTACTCCGGGCAGGGCATCAGGACAGCACTCGCTTCCTGTAGCTGCTGCCTGAGGCTATGTGAGGCTTGTGCTTAAAGGGGCTCCCCTCTACAGCCGTGTCTCAAATTCTTCTCCATAGCCTACCTCCTTGAGAGACAGCCAATGCCACACCGCATGCTGTGGTTGCCCTTTCAGATGCCCACAGCACTCCTACCGCTATCATGGAGCTGGACCTGCTACAAAGCAGTCACTGGTTCCTAGACCCGCTGCTGCAACTCCTGCTGCAGTTTATGCAGTCTGCCCTTGTGGCCCTGCTTGAAGACAATGACCAGCCTGGAATGGGGGACCTCCTCACTCAGGCCCAGTCGTTCCTCATGTGCCACACTTCCTCTCACCTCCCCACTGCACATAGTGCACTGCTGCTTCTGGCAGTGGGAGACCAGTATTGTCTGGTAGGACCAAGTCGTCATGGAACGGTGAGACAACCAGCAGTGGTTCCAGAACGTCCTCATGTGGAAGGACACCTTTCTAGAGCTCTGGAGTGGCATGCCCCTGCCCTCAGGTGACAGGACCACCTGCATGCGACTCACCCACCCCCTGCAGAAGCGTGGCGCCATCGCAGTTTGGAATCTTGCCATGTCAGACATCTACCGCTCCGTCGGGAACCAGTTCAGTGTGGGGAGATCAACCATCGGGGCCGTGCTGATGCAGGTTTGACTCTCTTACTATTGTCCCAGGAGTGTGGAGAAGCACTGCAATGGCTTCCCCGGAGAAAGGGGATGGTGGAATCTCCCTCCCTGGAGGTTTTTCAGTTCTGCCTTCACAAAGCTCTGCAGGCTTGAGGTAGTTGGGGTTGCTCCTGCTCTGGGAAGGGGCTTGGGCTCGGGGCACTCCAAAGGGATCTGGCAACCCTGTGATTCTATGATTCTATCCTTCTATAGGTGGTGAAGGCCATCAACACCATCCTGCTGTGCAGGGTCGCCACCCTGGGCAATGTGGACCCCATCATCACTGGCTTTGCTATTATGGGCTTCCCCAGTTATGAGGGAGTGGGCATTCATTGCACCCACATCCCAATCCAGGCCCCCAACCACCAGGCCTCAGATTACGTCAATAGGAAAAGGATACTTTTCCATGGGCCTGCAGGCCCTCATGGACCACTGGGGCCATTTCACAGACATTAATGTTGGGTAGTCAGGGAAAGTGCACAACGTGTCTTTAGGAATACCAGCCTCTTCTAGAGGATGCACACCAGCACTTTTTACCCCAACTGCACCATCAGGGTCAGGGACGTGGACGTGTCCATGTGCATTGGAGCGACGTAGCCTATCCCTTGCTCCCCTTATTACACTGGACACCTGGACCCCACCAAGGAATGGTTCAATGCTAGACAGAGCAGGTGCTGCATCATGGTGGAGAGTGCCTTTGGCTGCTTCAAAGTGAGGCTCCAGTGACGACTCACCTGCCTGGACCCCAGCGACCAGAATATCCTCCAGGTGGTGGCAGCCTACTGTATCCTCCACAACCTTTGCGAAAATAATGGGGAGCCTTTCTTGCAAGAGTGGGGGGCAAGGGCCAAGTAGCTTTTGAGCAGCTGTACACCACAGCCATCTGGCAAGCCTGTCAGGGGCTGTGCACATCCGGGAGGCCCTGAGGGAGAGTTTCAGAGAAGGCCACTTGTGAGACTCTCCCCCTGACTTTCCCACAAGGGACCTCTGCAGTGGCCCAGTGTGCCTTTCCTCCCCCTTCTGTACCTTTCCCCCCTCTCCCCCTTCCTCCCCTCCTGCAAAGACCAAATAAACCAGACTTTTTGTTGAAACAGTACACGCTCTGATTTTTTGGGGGGGAATCTAGAACTGGGGAGGAACCGGAGAAAGAACCTGGGTAGGGGGAGGAGGGGCTCAGAGATGCGGCTGGGAATGGCTCCTGCTTCAGGTGGTCCCACCACTTTGTGTGTGGAGCCATCAGTGACACAGGGGGCTCTAGGAGAAGAAAGGGTGAATACAGGGGGGCTTGGGAAAGAGCGGGTATAGGGAGGGCAGTGACCATGCACTCAATATTGGTGTAAGCCACTCCCATTCTCTCATGCTGCCAGGACAGCTGCTCCCTGATGTGCAGTGCAGCTCCTGGTCAGCATGGCTCTCCTGGCAGTCATCCTCCTTTCAGTTGAGGGAATGGAGGTGCTCCAGGTGTTCCCTTGCCAAGTTGTCCTGGGGTCACCTCCACTGGTGGGTCTCGCAGGATTGGGAGGATGTCAGGGAAGTGTTGCATGTGCCCCACTTGCAGCTGGTCCACTTGTGAAGAAAAGCAAGAAGGCCAGTCATCCCAGGAGACACCATGCATGAAGCCTATCCCTAATCTCTGAGCTGACACCAAAAGGTTTTGGTTTAGATGACAGTGAAGTGCTTCATGCAAAGCCGTCTGTGGTTAGGCATGAGGCACTTTCCTGTAGGGGCATCAGCATCCCAGGGGAGCCTCGCTACCCCCACGTCCTGGGGACAAGCAGGCATGAGAAGGGGCTGGCCTGGCCAGGAGTCTGCAGGTGGAAGGGAGGGATCGGGCAGCTGAGCTTCCATCTGTGCTGCCCACATGCCAGGTCTGGCACTAGCTGTGTCCAACAGAGAGAGAACTTCTATCCCTGCACGCTGGAGGAAAGAGAGGTGTTGGGGGAGGTGCGTGTGAGCAGCAATGCCCGCTTGCTGGGAAGGGTGGTACTGGGGTCCCCTCCACTTTCTCCTTCCCAGCAGGTTCCCATGCAGGACATCGGTATCCTCCAAATCACTACACTTGACTGGGAGCAAATGCTGCTCCAAGAGTGCAAGCACGAGTGTGCGGCTCTGCTGTGTGTTTCCCTGACCACAGCCTCCTTAGTGGTGGCTTGTGGTGGGAAAGTGGCCCACCACAGACTCTGGAGTATGGCAGGCAGTGAGAAGGAGCAACTGGTTCCTGTGTGGCAGCATCATGGGACTGATGCTCCTTGTGCACCCATGTGCACAGGCTGTTGTGCTAGCCCCAGGCCGAGAAGGCCAAGCAAGAAGCGTGCAGTCCCTCACAGCCTGCCACCTGCCCCCACATGTGCCATGGGAAAGTGATGGAACTCACCCAATGGGCCTTCCCTGGCTTTGTCCGAGGCATGGGAGACCTCTTGAGAGGGGAGGGTACTGACTCCAGGGTGATGACCACCTTGCTGGTGGGCATAGTGTCAGTACTGGCCTCCTCTCATCCTCATCATCATCCTCCTCCTCCTCCTCCTCCACAGCCCTGCCCTCCTGGAGGCTGATGACAGGCGTGTCCAGACCAGAGGTGACAATGAAGGGAGGGGAAGTGACCTGCCCCCTCCTATGATGCCATTCAGCTGGACATAAAGGTGGCAGTTCTAGGGTGCTGCTCCCAACCGGGAACTTCTTTGCCTGGAACTTCTTTGCCTTGGTGTAAGCCTTCCGGTGCTCCCTGATCTTCATCCTAATCTAGTCCATACGTCCCCTCTGGATGAAGCTGGTATGGAGATCCTGGAGGTTTGATTGATCTCCCCAGACCTCGATCAGATTGGCGACCTCCACCTCAATCCACGAGGGTGCCCTCCTCTTCCGCCCCTGGCCAGGGGCTTTAGAGCTGGCTGCTGGCATGTTTGCAGCTGTGGGGGGCTTGGATGAAGTGCCGGCGTTGCTCATTGCAGCAGAGAAGGCTGGGCAGAGTGCTGGTGTGTGGTACAGTGCAAGCAGGGCCTGCATCGTGCCACAGGTGCTTTCCCTTCTGCCTGCACCTTGAAAAGTGGCAGGAGAAGGGAAGCTGTTGAGGGGTGAGGACAGAGTGGCCACCAAGGCAGCTGTGGGAAGCCCTAGAGACAAGTTATTTTTAAATAAGCACAACTGCACCATCCACACTTACACTATTTTGAAATAGGCTTTATTCCTCATGAAATGCGGGTTTACTATTTCAGAATAAGAAGCCTGTTACTTTGAAGTAATTTCAAAATAACAGGCTTGCTGTGTGGATGCTCACCATCATGTGAGTTATTTTGAAATAACTCTGTAGTGTTGACATACCCTGAGGTAGTACTGAGAATGTTCTTAGTGCTTGGTTGGCTAGTTTTTGCTCACATGCTGAATATATGTGGGATCACAAAAGAATTTCTCCCCATTCTCTGCCTGTGGGATCTAATGGTTTGATCTCTAACAAGCCGTGGTGCTTTGTTCTAGTTTTGGTTGTCAGTTGTGACATTAGTGGCCTGTGATAGACAGAGGGGCAGACTATATGATCTGGTTGTCTCTTCTGGCCTTAAACTCTGTGGTGGGGACATCACAAGGAAGTTCCTGTTACTCCTTTGTCCACATCATAGCACCATCATCTGAATTCCAAAATTCGCAATCTCAGACCACTTCAGATTTGGGATGTCAGGGTTTGCAAAATGTATTGGCTCAGCTTTCTGAAAAATGACACACTGTGGTTGATTCTAGCCATCACAGTTAGTTCCATCTGTTCATGAGCGTGGGAATGGTCACTCACCTAAAAACAGAGAGAGAGAAGCAATCAAGGTAATGGTTCCCAGTGGAAAACAAATGTGGCACAGATGCAGCATAACATTTTTTCATCAGATGGCATAAATACCGGTATATAAGATGGTTTAAAATATCAAATGACCAACTGAATTTAAAATGTAAAAACCGATCTTCACTGGCCTCTAACACCAACTCCTGCAGCACTTATAAGTACAGTAGAACCCAAGCTTAAAGCATTTGATGTCACAATGTGCAGCTTCAAGTTATAATCTTCTGATTTAAACAGAATTCACCACCTCTCCCTTTTTAAGAGACATTTTGACATAGGGTTATGCAAATATATGAAATACTAATATTCAGCATTAATTATTTGTGCCTGTAAAATAGGCTAAGGAAATTTATATGAAGATTTATTAGTCTAAGGAAATTAAGTCCTTTCTTAATTATCTCTCTGTTAAACAGCCATGTAATTAATGAACTTATTGAAACTGAACGAGCATATGTGGAAGAACTTCTGTGTGTTCTTGAGGTAAGCAAATATATGAAATACTAATATTCAGCATTAATTATTTGTGCCTGTAAAATAGGCTAAGGAAATTTATATGAAGATTTATTAGTCTAAGGAAATTAAGTCCTTTCTTAATTATCTCTCTGTTAAACAGCCATGTAATTAATGAACTTATTGAAACTGAACGAGCATATGTGGAAGAACTTCTGTGTGTTCTTGAGGTAAGTCTGTTTGTCATATATATATATATATATATATATATATATATATATTTTACTGGATCTGTTTATCTAAAGAATCGACACCTTTCATTGTTTATCCTTAAATGAATAAATTCTAGCAAATGTACAATACAAAAAAATCTTGTTTGCCTGTCCGAATATCATTTTTGGGCTGACTATCCTAGAGTCCCCAGGGCTTAGGGAAGAGCAGTGATGGTCAAAAGCCACCTTTGCATTCTCCCCTAAGCTAGGTGCTCAGATCAGAGGATCTGGTTCTTCATACACAATGGATAAAGTCTACATTTGAAAATCAGACTTAAAACAAGTTTGCATGCATTTCTTGATGTTTTAAAATGCTAAAGAACAGGATCTGCAATGATTTTTTTTACCTGCAGTAGTCATTATAAATGTGGATGAACAAAACCAGTCATCTGAAATATCAATGTCTAAGGCTTGCTTAGATAATATAGTTTGCTTTGAAACTATGTGTAAAGTTATTAAAAAATTGCAAACTACATTAAAAAAAAGATGTAGAAATATGCTAGCTTTGGCTTGAATTCAGTGATTGTATAAACTTTGTTACATTCTTATTTAACAAGAATGTTGAATAATTCTTTAAATTAACTCTCCAGAGGTTATGAATGTGTGTGTACAATCCTCACGCACATTCATTTTGATGATGGTCAAGAGAAGGGCAATGTTGTAAGAGTCAACATTTAATTGATGCAGAAATCTTCTGTACTTTGTATCGGCTGTTGGCAGACTGATTTGTGTACAGGAGAGGGTTGGAACTAATTAATCTGCCTCTCTCTCCATGTCAAAGGGCTATGCTACAGAGATGGACAACCCTTTAATGATGAATCTCATTTCACCAGGGCTCCTAAATAAGAAGGATGTTTTGTTTGGGAATATGGAAGAAATTTATCATTTTCATAACAGGTTAGGATTTCTGTTTAATAAGAAAAGCTTTGATTCGGTGAGTGGGTGTGGATAAGAGAATGAATGTTTTCATTTGTATGTGGTACCATTTTTTGTGGTATTGCTTGGGGGAGGAAGGAAGTCTTGTATTCTTTTTAATTGTGTTAAAGGACTCTGACTAAGTCATCCCTCAGTACCTGATGTCTCTAAATCCATATTGCATAGGAAAGAGAAGGCAAAGTACCTAAGGGAGGTAGAAGTTGCAGTGGGGGAGGTCTATCTTGGCTAATAGGAAAAAGTATTTCACTGGGAGGGTGATGAAGCACTGGAATGAGTTACCCGGGGAGATGGCAGAATCTCCATCCCTAGAGGTGTTTAAGTCCCAGCTTGACAAAGCCCTGGCTGGGATGATTTAGTTGGGGTTGATCCGGTTTTGGGAATTGGGTTGGACTCAATGACCTCCTGAGGTCTCTTCCAGCCCTAGGATTCTATGAGACCAATAACCTTGCGAAGAGCAGTGTGAAGTTATTCAGTATCTGCAAAAAAGCATAAAACACCCAGTAATTTGCTATGTACAACCTGTCCTTTCACTCACCCAATTAATGGAGGAAGTTAATCAGTTTCAAATAGTTTTTATTCTATTTTACAACCTTTACAAAGTTACAGCCAGCACACTCTAATATGGTCGATCCCTGAATATGGGTCTTTTTCCTGTCACTAAGTATTTACTTCTTGCCTCAGTCACTAACCATTTTATCCCATCCTTGATATTCTATGTGGTGAAGGCAACAGAATTTATACTCTCCCAGGAGTTTCAGTTAGTAGATATTGTTTAGCAGATATTCCCACACAAAGCAGAATTAGAACTGGTTGGAAGGACAGAAGTATAACTTATGTCTATTGATTTAATTGCAGTTAACTCACACGATTTTTAAAAAATTAACTATTACAAAATTGTGATTAATCATGCTATTAAACAATAAATACTTCTTGAAATTTATTTAAAATTTTCGATTTTTCTACATTTTCACATATATTGATTTCTATTACAACAACATGCACAAGTGTACAGTGCTCACTTTATATTATTTTTGATGTACAGATATTTTCACTATGAAAATTATAAACAAATAGCATTTTTCAATTCACCTCGTACAAATATTGTAGTGTTATCTCTTTATCATGAAAGTGCTATTTATAAATGTAGATTTTTTTGTTACATAACTGCATTAAAAAACACAACAATGTAAACCTTTAGTGATTACAAATTCACTCAGTCCTACTTCTTGTTAAGCCAATGACTGAGACAAACAAGTTTGTTTATATTTACAGGGGATAATGCTGCATGCCTCTTACATACAATGTGATCTGGAAGTGAGGATGGGCATTCACATGGCACTTTTGTCTCCAACATTGCAAAATATTTACATTCCAGATGTGCTAAACTTTTGTATGCTCCTTCATGCTTCGGACACCATTTCAGAAATATGCTTCCCTGCTGATGATGCTTGTTTAAAAAAAATGTGTTTGTTAAATATATGAGTGAACTCCTTAAGGGAAAATTGCATCTCTCCAGTTCTGTTTTACCCACCTTCTGTCATATATTTCATGATGTAGCAGTCGCAGGATGATGACCCAGCACACTTTCACAGCAGATTTGACAAAATGCAAAGAAGGTTCCAATGTGAGATTTCTAAAAATAACTACACACTCGGCCTAACGTTTAAGAATCTAAAGTGTCGTTGAAAAGTAATGAGGTGTGAAGCATGCTTTCAGAAGTCTTGAAAGAGCAATACTCCACCAAAAAAGAAAATCAAATTTTGCCACTCTCCTTTGTCTCAGATGATGAAAATGAACATTCACCACTCTGCTCTTCTTTGTATCATTATTGATCAGAGCCTGTCGTCATCACAGATGTATGTCCTCTGGACTAGTGGTTGATGTCTGGCACTTAATTATCTTGTAACACCAGCTATAACAGTGCTATGCGACCACTTGTTCTCACTTTTGGGTTATTTCATAAACAAGAAGCTACAGCGTTATCTGCTGCAAATTGTAACCAAACTTGTAGATACTTTGCTGAACAAGAAGTGGGGACTGAGTGGACTTGTAGCATCTACATTTTTACATTGTTTTACTTTTGTACATCATTCAACATTTGTAAGTTCACCTTTCATGATAAGGAGATTGCACTACAGTACAGGTTGAACTTCTCTATCCGGCACCCTCAGGACTTGTCTGGTGCCAGACCAGAAGATTTGCTGGATCATAGAATACTAGGACTGGAAGGAACCTCGAGAGGTCATCAAGTCCAGTCCCCTGCCCTCATGGCAGGACCCAGTACTGTCTAGACCATCCCTGATAGACATTTATCTAACCTACTCTTAAATATCTCCAGAGATGGAGATTCCACAACCTCCCTACCCAATTTTTTCCAGTGTTTGACTACCCTGACAGTTAGGAACTTTTTCCTAATGTCCAGCCTAAACCTCCCTTGCTGCAGTTTAAGCCCATTGCTTCTTGTTCTATCCTCAGAGGCCAGGAAGAACTATTTTTCTCCCTCCTGCTTGTGACACCCTTTTAGATAACTGAAAACCGCTATCATGTCCCCTCTCAATCTTCTCTTTTCTAAACTAAACAATCCCAATTCTTTCAGTCTTCCTTCATAGGTCATGTTCTCTAGATCTTTAATCACTTTTGTTGCTCTTCACTGGACTTTCTCCAATATCTCCACATCTTTCTTGAAATGTGGTACTCAGAATTGGATACAATGCTCCAACTGAGACCTAATCAGCGCAAAGTAGAACGGAAGAATGACTTCTTGTGTCTTGCTCACAACACACCTGTTAATGCATCCCAGAATCATGTTTGCTTTTTTTTGCAACAGCATCACACTGTTGACTCAAACTTAGCTTGTGGTCCACTATAACCCTTAGATCCCTTTCTGTCAAACTCCTTCCTAGACAGTCGCTTCCCATTCTGTATGTGTGAAACTGATTTTTCCTTCCTAAGTGGAGCACTTTGCATTAGTCCTTATTAAACTTCATCCTGTTTACCTGAGACCATTTCTCTAATTTGTCCAGATCATTCTGAATGATGACCCTATCCTCCAAAGCAGTTGCAACCCCTCCAGGCCTGGTATCATCTGCAAACTTAATAAGTGTACTCTTTATGCCGATATCTAAATCATTGATGAAGATATTGAATAGAACCGGTCCCAAAGCAGACCCTTTGTAGAATCCCGCTTGTTATACCTTTCCAGCGGGATTGTGAACCATTAATAACTTCTCTCTGGGTTATTGTGCACCCAACTTATAGTAGCTCCATCTAAGTTGTATTTGCCTATTTTATTGATAAGAAGATCATGCGAGTTCAAATATTTTCCAACAGCATTTGGGTTAAATTAGAGCTAAATAACAACACAGAACACTGAGAGCCAGGACTGTTAAAAAAAATTATGAGACTGAGGAAAACTTGTCCACGCCCAAGATAAGTGGACATCAGACTAACTAAAATCATGTTAGACAATAGGTGTTGCTGAACTAGAGAGGGTCAACCTATGTTTGTATTAGGTTAATTGAAAAATACTATTTTGTTTGTTGTTTACAGTGAAAGTATTTGACATCAAAAATATAAAGTGAGCACTGCACTCTTTGTTCTGGATTGTAATTGAAATCAAATATATTTGAAAATATCCTAAAATATTTAAATACCTGGTATTATATTATTCTTTAACTGGTTAATCACAGTTATAATTTTTTTAATCTCTTGACAACCTACTATAATTTCAGACAGTTAAACACAAAAGACAGGTGTTACATTTCTTACAGGCATGTAAGATTTGGCCAACATGGTCAACACAGTAAAAAAAAAATACTTGACCAACAAAGTAAATAATTTTTTTTTCTCCCCTCTTGTTCAGTTATAGTAATCTTATAGTAACCATTTCGAACAAGAGTATCTTAAAAACAGAAATACAATTTTAAATTTGGTGTCCTTTTCAAATAATGATTTGAGGGAGATGTTTATTTTTGTAGTATAATATTACAACTCTGATATTTCCTAAAGCTTAGAAAATTAAGGCTATTGCAGGAGAGGGAACCTAAGGAAGTCTAAGCCATTATAACTGCTTTTTTCCTTTAGAATATTCTGTCACATAACCTAACAAAGTTATTTTCTTTGTAGAATATTCTTGCGAGAGCTAGAAAATTACATAGAATACCCAGAGCTGGTGGGAAGGTGTTTCCTTGAAAGGGTATGTATTCGAGAGAATGTGTGTTACTCGCTGTTCTGGTCTCACTCAGCTCTGCCTACTACTTGAATTAGAAGCCCAGCATTCTAGTTATACAGGCAGTCCCTGGGTTACGTACAAGATAGGGACTGTAGGTTTGTTCTTAAGTTGAATTTGTATGTAAGTCGGAACTGGTACATATTGTAGGGGAAACGCTAGCCAAACATTTCTCCAGAGCTCAGTTTTATTCTCCCACACCTCACTTCCCTCAGTCCTTTATTCTCAAGATGAAGTGTCTGCTGAGAAAAGCCGCTCCACGTCTCCCTGGTCTGCTGGGGGGGGGCGCTAGCTTCGCGTCTCCCTGGTCTGCTGCGGGGAAGCAGCTAGTGCGGGGTTGCCTCACCCCATTTGTAAGTAGGGATCCGATGTAAGTCGGATCCATGTAACCCTGGGACTGCCTGTAGAACAATCTATGACTACAGAGGAAATAGAAGACAAACAGAAAAGAGAGGAGAGCTGGGCAAATCTACAAAAAAGATTAATTGCAAATATTCAGGGCTTGCCGAACTGCAGCGAGCCCCGCTCGCCAGCTGCACTGTCCGATGATCTGCGCATGCGCAGATCGCCGGAACCCAGCTCTTCCAGGTTACAGTCTACTCGCCACGGGCGAGTAGATTGTATAATTTGTCGAGCCCTGCAAGTATTCATTAAAATAAAAGCTTGAATTTGCTTCCATAATATTCACAACTTGTGGCACTTCTGTTCAGAAGGTGAAACTCAATAATCTGCAAAGGACCAGGATAAAGCCTATGTAACATGTAAGCCCTGTTAAAACTCAACTAGCCTGAGCTGAAGTAGAACTTGTGTGCCGCATAGGCTTTGTGCATGGTAAATTTGACCCGGGGGAAATAGATTCATAAATACGATTTTGACTCTAGCAGAAACATTTCTCTACTTTTAAAAGGTTCAGTCATACAGTTAGGGAGCAGCAATAACACCACATGACTTACATGATCAGCCATGCCATGGAATAACAAATAGTAAAACCCTTAAAGACATTGAAGTGAACCGTGCACAACCATAGTTGGATGATATTTTAGTTCAAAGTGATTGAACGCTGTATACGGACTTGAATTTGATACATTTGTTCATTATTGCACAGATAACGCAAACAGAAAAACTGCAATTGTACAGGAAAAAAATGATGTGCTACAGAGACTTTGTCCCACTCCACAAGAGTAGAACTCTTGATTTTACTGATGTTAATTAACATACTTTCTGAATGGATAGCAAAACTTTATGAATTAGCTACTAGCAACATTTACTAGCTGGATGCATCTGGTGACATAGTAATCAATCACTAAAGAACACTTCTCTATTGTATTACTGCTTGCCTATATTCATGGTTAATATTAAAGTGCTATGCAGCTGTATTTCCTCTTTATATATTAGTTTAAATAAGTGATTTATATATGTGAATTGTACATATTTTAAAATGGTAAAGTTAAACAGAAGCAAGAATTAACAAGAAAGTGTTCTTTTAAAATTCTGCAATACAATATGTAAATTAATATGCTTCAAAATTATGGCAAATATTTTAACAATATTTTTTGTCATTAATGTTCCAGGGAATTATACTATCATTTGTCCTCTTTTTTTTTTTTCTTAGTCTCAGAAGTAGGAATTCCTAAGTATTTTAAACGCTTTTTAGTAAAAGTTCAGTACTTGAATTCACAATAACCTTTTTTTATGGAATTCAGATGGAAGATTTCCAGATGTATGAAAAATATTGTCAAAATAAACCCCGATCTGAAAGCTTGTGGAGGCAGTTTTCAGACTCTGCATTTTTTCAGGTATACTTACTTAAGTCTTCATTTTTCTCAATGTTTCTAAGATTGAATGAAGAAAGACTTTATGTATTAATGAAGTGCTAAATTCATCATAGGAATGTCAGAGGAAACTTGAGCACAAACTGAGTTTGGATTCCTACTTACTGAAGCCTGTTCAGAGAATAACCAAATACCAATTACTGCTGAAGGTAGGGGGTACAGAACAATATGCATGAGTATTCTTTTGGTGCTTGGGCATTTTTAAAAAATTACACTATTTTGTAGTTGTATGTCACTATTTGTCTCATCCTACCCCAAGAAAAGCCTAAAGGCAGTAGGAATAAGACCATACATGGACTTTCAAGGCATGAAGGGTGATGGGCAGATTTCAATCTGTCATCTTGTTCAGTTCTCTTGTTTCTCTGATTCTAAAAGCAGGAAGTGGGTGGGCAATCTTGTGCTTCATATATAGAGTTTGCTATAATTCTTTTTGACTTTGTTCTCCCACTGAGTAGACAGAAGGAAGACTAGGACAAACAGACTTGTAAGGGATACTTTCTATTTGCTTGAAACTTGACCACTGCAGAAATTGGCACCATGGGCTTGAAAATATACTCAGAAAAATGCCTGTGCAATCATATAGAAACTCTGCAAGGTAATGCAGAGGCATGCATTTCTGGAATCAAGTGTTTTTTAATTTATGCCACTGTATGTTTTTGGAAATACAGGATAATGTTTAATATAATAATTTTTATATTGGAAGCCTGACAATTTTGGAAATGCTATACCAAATTTCCAAACATTTAATACAGGTCTTATTTTTTTCCCATTGTAAATTATTTAATAGATATTCAAAACATAACCTAGCACAGTGGGTTTTTGACCTGTGAGCAGGGCTTCAGGCTGCAATCAAAATAACAGCTTAAAATGAGCATGGGATGTACCTAAATTTTAGAGCTAGATAACAATAGAAACCTTTTTCACAAAACTTCATGCCAATCTTTTCACCATATTGATAGCAACTCTTTGCAACATTGGGCTTATATAGGCCTCGTTTCCAGAGGCAAGAAGTAGAATTTAGAACCATCTGACTCTGTCTTATTTTATCCATTACCATGGGATTTTTGGAGATTCCCACCTTCTCCTCCTCAGGCTTTTTTCAATTGTGGCAAGTGGGAATTTTTGGTTGAAATTAACACACAGAACCAGATAGTGTTGGGGGAGGGGAGGAGGAATTAACAGATGAAAGCTCATCTCAAAATTCAGTGTTGAAAGTGCACACATCTAGAGATGTAATAGTTATCTGTTTACAAAACAGAATGAGCATCACATCGTTTTTCCCCATAGGAAATGCTGAAGTACAGTAAAAACTGTGAAGGAGCTGAAGATCTGCAGGAGGCATTAACCTCTATACTAGGTATTCTCAAAGCAGTCAATGATTCTATGCACCAGATTGCCATTACCGGCTATGACGTAAGTGACCGCATTTCTTAATTGTTGTACAGATACAAAATGAAGTGAATATAATAATGTATGTAATAATGCAAATGGGATTTTGCAACAGTTTTCTTTTGACTAATCTCTGATCTGTGCTGTCTAGTAAAAATAATGGGGAAATGGATTCTGACACATTTCTCACCAATCTCACTACTAGTATGTACTTTCAGTATATTTTATTAGAAGTCCCAATCCCATTTTGTTGATTCCAGTTTTCCTCTTGAAAATTTCTTTGAAACAATTTGTGTGGTGAGAGTGTGGAGACCCATTCAACCCAACTGTAAACGGTGCATGTGAGGGAAGCTACTTTAAGCTAGGGAGTGTCACAGTACTCGCTCCCCTGCACTCCTACTTCCAGAACCTATGGACAAGGCCACATGTTTCAAGCATTGTTAACATTTACCTAATGCTTTTTCTTTAGAGGGAAATTTCCTCTCAAGATGATCTAATGGGGAAGTTGTGATTCCAGAACCAAACCCAGGAATAATAGCATCCTATATCCCAGGAAACAGTGACAAAGATTTGGAGACCATAGTGGATAATCATGAACATGAGCTCCCAACATGACTCTGTGGCCAAAACAGCTAATGTAATGCTGGGATGCATAAATAGGAGAAACTTGAGTAGGATTAGAGAGGTTATTTCACCTCTATCTTGACACTAGGGTGTCCAGTTCTCGTGTCCACTATTCAAAGAGGATGTTGATAAATTGGAGACAGTTCAGAGATGTGCTTGAGAAAGATTAAAGAATGAGAAGATATGCCTTAGAGAGACTTAAGGAGTTCAATCTATTTGTCTTAATAAAGGGAATATTAAGGATTAGAGTCCATAAGTCCCTATTTGGGGACATATATTTAATAATGTTTTTTCAGTATAGCCAGGAAAAGTATAACACAGTCCAACAGCTGGAGGTTGAAATTAGGCAAATTAAGACTGGAAATAAGGTACACTTCTTACTGTGAGGGTGATCACAGAATCATAGAATACTAGAACTTGAAGGGACCTCGAGAGGTCATCAGGTCCAGTCCCTTGCCCTCACAATGAAACATTGGAACAATTTACCAAGTAGCCTCACGGGTTCTCCATCACAAACAAGTTTTAAAAGAAAATTGGTGGCTTTTCCAAAAAAATCTGCTTAGGAATGGTTTGGGGGAAGTTCTGTGGCCTGTGTTATGCAAGAGGTTAATCTAGATGATCATAATGGTTCCTTCTTGCCTTAGAAACTATGACTCTGGACAGTTCCCATTGATTTCAGTAGGGCCAGGCTTTCACCCCCACATTCCATTTTATCTGAACCATCAAATTTAAAAGGTTTAGATACGACTTTTTTTGTATTTTACTAATCTGATTAGTATAACTGTCAGATTTCTCTTTAGTATTTGGATGTACTGTTGGATGTTAGATGTTGCTTATAATTTGTTGATTTCAATCTGCATGTAATGGTGGATTCCTCGCCCTTTCTTTATTGACAGTGGTTAAAGTCTAAATAAGAAATACCATTGCTGCTTCTGTTCTCTTCAGGCTAATTTGGACCACCTTCATCACACATCTTTGTGTAATGTCTTCCCACTTTCAAGATTAATAAAGCAAAAAAAATGTATAAAGGAACAATGTCAACCAATTTTTTTATTTTTTTTAAAATTGATAGAGAACCTTTTTTACAAATACTTTATTTTTCTCTCGCTCTCTCCTGTCTCACAATTCTAGGACCATTCTTCCCTACTGATTGTGGGAGTTTCTGGTAACAACTGTACTGCTAGAACAACATTTTTTCAAACAGAAATGTATTGTCAAGTTGATCATGTCCCTTCAAAGTGTAAACAACTTCACTGTTTTTGTTTTAGGGAAACCTGAATGAACTAGGCAAGCTTTTAATGCAAGGATCCTTCAGTGTATGGACAGATCACAAAAAGGGCCACTCAAAAGTGAAGGATTTGGCACGTTTCAAGCCAATGCAAAGGCACCTCTTCCTCCATGAGAAGGCAGTGTTATTCTGTAAGAAGAGAGAAGAAAATGGAGAGGGATATGAAAAAGCACCTTCCTACAGTTACAAGCATTCCTTAAATGTAAGATATTTAGCAATCATATTAAGAATAAGACAGTAGTAGTACTTAAGCTTTGAGCTGTTTTATTATAGTATATTGTGTTTATTCACTGAAGTCATAAAACTTTATTTGTAAACATGTTATATGCCTTAAACACCTAAAGAATTTTTTGTAGCATAGAATTTGCACATAGAAGCAAATCTGGCCAGTATTGATATAATCTCTTCTCTTTGTGCTATTTTTTCTGTCCTTCCCATCTCTCCATAGCTTCCCTTTTTAATGCCAAGATCACCTGATTTGAGATTACAAAACTATATTAGGGTAATGTAGTCCAGAATGTGATCCCCTTACCCATGTCAAATAGTTAATTGGGATTACTAGCAGAGTAAGTGACTATACATATAAGTCACCCTACATATAAGTGTGTCCAAATCTGGCCCTTAAATGAGAGATGATTTTTCGTTCTGCCCTGATTAATTTACAGAATCTCCCCTTCATTCTGGCACACTAATAAGAGCTTTACTCTCAGCTGTTAATCTTTCCCACTTCATAATGCATGGATTATACATGAACAGTGGATTGGCTTGAGTGAAAAACATCAGTTTTTCTGCTGAATAGGTTTTAAACAGTTCAGTGTATTGGAATCAAAGGTGGTGACTAATGGTCTTCTGTTACCATTATTTTCACTGATGCTTAGCATGTCAACATCTGTTTGTTGTGTTTGCCAGATGACAGCTGTTGGAATAACGGAGAACGTCAAAGGTGACTCAAAGAAATTTGAAATCTGGTATAATGCGAGGGAAGAAGTTTACATCATTCAGGTAACGGTGTTTCACTTTACTTTAACTCATAGGCCTATATTTTTGTTCTACATACAGTTTTTAATTTGAGCCATGTGCTTTCACAGAATAAATGATGAGGTGATTTCCCCATTTCCTGTATGCTTGCAGGTGTTGCTCTTACTTACATAAATTATTATTTCAGTCTTAGCAATGTCACTTGGACAAGAAGCCTAAGTAACAGACATGTGCAGCAAGTCTTGTGTAGTATTCTTCAAAATAAAAGTTGAGACTTTCTGGTTTGGAAGTGAGACAGTGATGCTTTCTGACTTCTAATAAGAGAAGTAAATGGAGCCTATATGTGTCACTGTACAATCCAGATGCACAAAAAAGTGCCTAGTGAAGTGTTTTTCATGTTTGTACATAAAGATCTGAGAGTATGTGTAAGATTAATTAAACCAGCCCACTGACTGTAATAGGAGCTGTTCAGTGGAAAGACAAGAAAAGGGGAAAATATAACACTTAATTTATCAGAGGAAGAGAGAAATTATAGAAGTAAAAAAATTAAGTACAGGTTGAACCTCTGTGGTCCGTCGTCATCTGGACCACGGATATTGCTGTATCAGAGAGCCCCAGCGGCCGGAAGCAGGGGCTATCTGGAAATCTGGCGACAAAGGAGCCAGCAACTGGAAGTCTGGCTGGGGCTGGGAGTGGAGCCAGTTGGGAGACCGGTGGCAGTTGATAGGCCAATGGCCAGGAGCCTAGACGGGATTGGGAGCAGAGCTGGGCTGGGAGCTGGGGGCTGGCAGGGAGTCTGATGGCAGAGGAGCCAGGAGCCCAGCCAGGGCTGGGAGCAGAGCTGGATCAGCAGCCCAAGGGTAGGAGCCCAGCTGAGGCCAGGAGCTGTGCCCAGTTGCGACTGGGGCCCAGCCAGGCTGGCTGCCTGACACAGGCCAGGAACAAAGCCCAGTGGCCAGGATCAGGAGTGATGTTGGCAGCTGTGAGGAGAGCCAGGACTGATGGCCAGGAGGGGTGCCCATTTGGGACACTGGCAGCCCCCTGGAAGAGCATGGAGGCCTGCAGCAGACGGGCCAGAATTGATCTCCCTGGTCCAGCAAATGGGACTGGTCAGGTCCGAAGGGTGCCTGACACGGAAGGGTCAACTTCTCGTATTCAACTCCTATAAAGCTTTTTGGGATACAACTGAGATGTTACAAGGTGTAATGGTTTTTTTACTATATTACTGTACATTGGTAAAATGAGGAGAATGGAGCCAACACACAGAGGTGACTGCAGAGGGTACTTTTAAACAGAAGAGGTGCTCTAAAAAGAATAAAAAAGAGGAAGTGGTGCCTCATTTTATAAGTTACTAATCTAAGCCGTGCAGCCCAGAAATTTTGAGATATGATTCAGATGTCATTGACCAAAAAGTGGAATGTAACTGTTTGAACTTGATCTTGCATGAATTTACAAATGTGCTTAACTTTACACACCTGAGCTACCCATTGATGTCAATGCCACTATTCAAGTATGTAAAAGTTACTGTGTGTGTTTGTAGGATACAGGCCTTTATGATGAAAAAAATAAGATTCACAACATTTCAGGAAAAATTTGCATAAATAAGTCTTGTTAATTTTCTCATTAGAGAAATCAAGTTTCTGCGACAGTGACAAAAAGTTAAAAATTACATAGAACAGTTAGATGTCTGCAAGTCACCAGGGCTTGGTGAAATGCATCCTAGAATAGTCAAGGAACTGATAGAGGAGTTATCTGAGACTTTAGCTATCATCTTTGCAAAATTATGGAAGTCGGGAGAGATTCCAGAAGACTGGAAAAGGGCAAATATAGTGCCCATCTATAAAAAGGGAAATACAGTAAGAACAATGCAGGAAACTACAGGCCAGTCAGTTTAACTTATGTGCCAGGGAAGATAATGGAGTAGGTAATTAAGGAATTCATCTGCAAACATCTGGAAGATAATAAGGTGATAGGTAACAGCAAATGTGGATTTGTAAAGAACAAATCATGTCAAACCAATCTGATAGCTTTCTTTGATAAGATAACAAGTCTTGTGGATAAGGGAGAAGTGGTGGACATGGTATGCCTAGATTTTAGTAAAGCATTTGATATGGTCTCACATGACCTTCATATCAACAAACTAGGGAAATACAACCTAGATGGGGCTACTATAAGGTACATGCATAACTGGCTGGATAATCGTTCTCAGAGAGTAGTTATTAATGGTTCACAATCATGCTGGAAGGGCATAACAAATGGGGTTTCACAGGGATCTGTTTTGGGACTGGTTCTGTTCAATATCTTCATCAACAATTTAGTTGATGGCATAGAGAGTACTCTTATTAAGTTTGCAGATGATACCAAGCTGGGAGGGATTGTGACTGATTTGGAGGATAGGGTCAAATTGAAAATAATCTGGACAGACTGGAGAAATGCTCTGAGGTAAATAGCATGAAGTTTTTAATAAGGACAAATGCAAAAGTACTCCACTTAGAAAGGAACAATCCATTTCACACATACAGAATGGGAAGTGACTGTCTAGGAAGGAGTACTGCAGAAAGGCATCTAGGGGTCATAGTGAACCACAAGCTAAATGAGTCAGCAATATGAGGCTGTTGAAATAAAAGCAAACATGGTTCTGGGATGCATTAACAGGAGTGTTGTGAGCAAGAAACGAGAAGTCATTCTTCCACTCTACTCTGCACTGATTAAGCCTCAATTGGAGTATTGTGTCCAATTCTGGGCACCACATTTCAAGAAAGATGTGGAGAAATTTGAGAAGGTCCAGAGAATAGCAACAAAATATGATTAAAGGTCTAGAAAACATGAAGTATGAGAGAAGTTTGAAAAAAATGGGCTTGTTTAGTTTGGAAAAGAGAAGGCTGAAGGGGACATGATAGTGGTTTTCATGTATCTAAAAGGGTGTCAGAAGGAAGAGGGAGAAAAATTGTTCTCCTTGGCCTCTGAGGATAGGATAAGAAACAATGGGCTTAAATTGCAGCATAGGAGGTTTATACTAGATATTAGGAAAAACTTCCTAACTGTCAGGGTGGATAAACAGTTGCATAAATTGCTATGAGGGTTGTGGAATATCCATCACTGGAGATACTTAAGAGCAGGTTAGCCAAACATCGCTCAGGGATGATCCAGAAGGTGCTTGGTCCTACTGTGAGGGCAGTGGACTGAACTTGATGATATCTTGAGGCCACTTCCAGTTCTAGTGTTCTATGATTGTCTGAAAAGCATCATTTCTCCCAGCCTCCCAGATGAGGTAAAAACTTAAAACAACTCACCTATACTCAAGACTGAGAGATAGTTCTGTTTATTATTAGGGCTCTTCCTAGCAGTGTTTTTGCAATCATTGTTTAGTGTAACTAGCTTTCAGTACTTGATTACTTGTTTCTTTTTTTGTGATAGGCACCAACCCCTGAAATTAAAGCTACCTGGGTAAATGAAATTAGAAAAGTGTTAACTAGCCAACTGCAGGCATGCCGAGGTAAAACATTCTCTTTATCTCTTTCCTTCTCCCTTCTGCCCAGTGGAGTTTTATACTGGAAACCCCATTCTATACACCTGGGTTGCAAGAAAATTCTGAAAACAAAGGCTCTGAATAGAGAGAAGTAATTTTGATAGATATTTTTCTTTCTTGCAGAAGCTAGTCAGCACAAAACACTAGAACAGACGCACAGTTTACCTTTACCTCCATCAACTTGTACAAGGTAAGTAAATATGTTGTCAAGTAAAGTTAGTGGGGTTAAACATAGCAGATTGCTACAAAATACATTAGACTTACCAAGGAGGCTTGTCTAGGTTCATCTACACAGCAGGGCTTAACTCGAAACAAGCTATGCAAATTGAGCTACATCAATTGTGTAGCTTACTTCAAATTCGGGATCATCTGCACAGCACTTATTTGGAAATAGAGCACTCTTCCTCCAACTTCCCTTACTCCTTGTACAACGAGGGTTACAGGAGTTGGAGTAAGAAGTCCTCCAGCTTGACAGTATTTCGACATTATTTTGAAATAACTGCCTGCTGTGTAGATGTAAACTGTTGTTTTGAAATAACGCTAGTTATTTGGAGATAATGTTGCTGTGTAGACATACCCTCTGTTGTTCTTTTGTCCACTTGCCTCCTACTATACTTTTTACTTCCGCTGCTGCTTTTCTGCCACTTTAGAATTATAGACCTGAGGTTTAAATAGATTTTGAACTGTTACATTGTTTTACATAAAGAGTTTATAGCAGTGGTATGAACTAGAAAATAGCACAGTCTAGTTGCCTGTGTACAGAATATAGCATTATATTTGAGCATTTCTGTCGGTCTGTCTGTCTGTTCAAGAACTCCTCCTAAATGGTAAGAACTAGGACCACCAAATTGGGTATGCAGCTTCCTCTTATCATAACTTAAAGCAAGGCCAGGGTTTGGTTGTGGCAGGAAAATGGGATGTGCCTGGAATGGGATTGCTTCTCATAAAACCAGACAGAAAAGAGACAGAATCACCAAATCAATTACAATCCCAAAATTGACCTAACTGTGTGAAAGTTGAAAGAGGGCTCGGGGCGGGCAGGACTCAGGGGTGGGAGTGCAGAGTGCTACCTCTGCCTG